GACCCATTGCTTAACCTATCCTTTGCTCTCCGTGAATGGAGCCATTTTTCGCTCTCTCTCTCTCTCTCACTCCACACCCCCCCTCCCTCCCAAATATTAGACCTAACCCCAAACCTGATGTCTTCTGAATTTGGCCAAAACTCACGCACATTGCAGGCGATTTCTGTTTAGACGGCCATACAAGTAGTTTTTTTATCAGGTTCAGTTTAATTTCAGGTATATTTTTAGGCAAAGGTTCGGGCTCATCATTCGGGTAAATATTTCCGTGTCTTAACCCTTAGTCTTAGTCCTTACCCAAACACCAACCCTACAGTTAACCTGAACCGCAACCCTAAACATAATTCTGGCCCTTACTCGTCCACTATGACCTTAAGCCCTTAACTAACTCCTAAATCTAACTTCTTCGGAATTTGGTGCGAAGCCATATCATGCATTGTGGGCAGTCTCTATTCTCGTGTCCTGTTTAGACAGTCAGACAAGTCGTCCTTATCGGGTTAAATTTAAGATAGGGCTACGTTTAAGGCTAGGTCTAGGGTTAAGTATGGTTTAAGGGTAAAGTTAAGGATTTAGATCCTGAATAGAGTTGGGCTGCTAACTCGGGTAGACATATACCGTTCCCGAAATCAAGCGTACGACCACGTGTAGTAAGGGTTTCCTTTTTACCATGTCCGGCTATTGACGTAAATTGTGGACGAACGCTCACGGAACTCACTAGGCCCACGCTGCTTTGAGGTTCATTCTCAAGCCCCACCGGCAGCCGCAAAGCGACCACTATTATAGGCAGATGAATGCTGTCGGAAAAGGCAAGGGAGACTTTAATGGCCATTTCCAACTCATTGGCCAGTCGTATCCGACCCCAAGCGGCGCTCCACTCGAGGCTTTAACCCGGAACCTGCTGATCAGAAGTCCAATGCGCTAACCATTGAGCTACTGGCTCGTTTTCTTGCTGGTGCAGCTCGGGATAATGGACATTCGCAGAAGAACGCTCACCGATCGCAAGTCTTAGATAGTACCCGAGTATCTTGGCTGTGCAG